AGGGGTTGGGGGTATGGGGGAGGGGAGGGGTAGGGAGTAAGGGGTAGGGTGTGTGTGTGAGGGGTAAGCGGTGAGAGTGAGGGATGTGGAGGTGAGGGTGGGGGTAGAGGGTGAGGGATGTGGAGTGGGGGTAGGGGTAGGGAGTGAGAGGCGGGGGATGAAGGTGAGGGGTGGGATATGAGGCTGTGTGGCATCTAGGACATGTGGAGGGCAGGGTGTGAGTAGGAGTGTGCGTGCTGGGAGATCATAGCAAGGAAAGGCCCAATGGTTCTGCTGTCAGTGGCTGCCCCTGCTGGAACCAGGTAGGTGGAATAGCGACGGAGACCTGCCAAGCTTTCTTGTGACGGAGCTGTCTCTCTCGATCAGGGACTCGGGCTGACTCACTTTCGCCTGGTCAGAGGAATTAACTTGCGGGCATCTGCATCATGGCAGGATGTGTGCGTCAGTCCATACGACTTTGTTCTTATTAAGAACCATGAGGGAAATTTAAAATGAGAAATGAAGGGGGTGGGTGGGAGGTTATGCCAAGGGCTATGAAAGATAAACTGCTTCTCCCTCAATGACTGGGTTATGCTAAGTGACCAAGGTCATCTCCCTTGACCCTGTTCTTGATAAGAGGCGGCTGCAGCCATCCCATGTGAGAGAAGTAACTTTAGAAGACACAACACACACACAGACACACACACACCTCACATATAGATAAGGGAGCCTGGAAGCTCCTCCCAGATGCCAGGCGGCCTCTGCAGCAGTAACTCTTTGTGCACTGCGGTTTGCTGCAGTCTTTGCTTTGGAGGGACGATGGCTTTTATGAATGGTAGCCTGGGAGGGGCCTAATGTCCTCCGCTTCTGATGTCAGCACAATGAATGAAACACTTGCAAGGCGTAAAGCCTCAAGTACCGGGGGAAGCAGATACCTTCTCAGATTGGTTCTCCAGATGCAGCGTCTCTTGCTGACGAAATCACCAGTCCCATGTGTCACAGATAATCCATATACGTTGGGATTTAAATGAGGCAGAAACCGAGACTGCATGTGGAATAATGCGTAGATGATTCTGGCACAACCAGCTCTTTCCCTGAAGCAGCTGTTGTCGCCACCCGCTTTCTGCCAGGCGCTGGAGGAAGGTGCTTGCAGGAGCAGCAGACCCACCGTTGTGTGTCAGGCATCTACTTAGCTAGCCTGATGTTCTGCTTTTGCTGGCAGAATTCCTTGCTGAAGCTCCAAGCCCTCGAGTCTGATCTGTGCTCTGCATTTTTGCCAAACCAGGAAGAAGCAGCTCAGGTGCATGGAGTCAAGGACTCAGCCCCAGCATTGACCCAGAGTGTGCCTGCTGATGGGGCGGATTCTGCAGGTAAGAGGCAGGGCTGCGGGTTGTCCCAAATTGTACTCAAGATAGTTCAGCCTCTTGCTGTTTCACCTTCAACCTGGGCCCTGAGGGGAAACAGTGCTTGGTGCAGTGTGAAAGCCTGAGAGGTGCTTTTCAGTTGCCCTGGGGGAGCAGAGTAGAGACAGGGGAAATTAGGGTTTGCTATAGACTTGCTTTCCAGCTGGGACCTAGAGTTCAACTTAAAGAAATGGGTGGGAGGCGAAATTGCCCATCACAACATCCAGTCTTCATTTTCCCATTTGGTCTCCTGTGACAAATGCTTGTTTTATATTACTGAACCTAGATGAATTTTGCTCTCTTGAAACCCATATTTTTGAGATGTTGAGGGATGGAGAAGTTTCAAGACTGCTGTTTCCTTTCTGTTAACTCTTTGTAAGGTGATCTATCAATGCAGGGAAAGTGGGGGTGGGTGCTCCACTGATAGCTTATTCTGATCCTGTATTGTCTTGTTCTGTCTCAGTTTTTTTTTTTTTTTTTTTTGCATTAATATCTGTGTCAAAAAGTCCCAAATTGGGTCTCAAGTTTTTCTAGCTTTAATCCCCTGGGATGATAGCTTGACTAGAAAACAGAAGGCAAATTAATGCTCCCAGGAAGACAAGAGAGGAAAGAAACACTAGTATACATGCATAGAAATGAGAGCACAGCTTATGTTTTCTAATAAGAAAGGGCCAGAGGTTTGCCAGACTGGTCTGGATGAATGGTTAAAAGTAAGCTTAGGTGAGCTTTCTTCATGAGAGGTCTTTAATCTCCAGGAGTTGAAGGAAAAGATTTGCAAAGGCAATCTATTTCAGTACCATTAGCTTAAGTACACTTAAGACACTCCTGTTTTGAAACAGACCCATGTTGTCTAAGCAGGTAAATCAGTCATCTCCACTGTTAGAATGTAAACTAATTTAAAACTTTCCATGATCTAGCCACTATTCTAAGCACTCTATGTGTATTGTATTAATCTTAAACTGACTGGTGAAGAATACTGTTCATGGTAAGGACACTGAGGCATAGTATAGAATTGCTGGCAAGTGGTAAATTATTTCTCTATGAATGCAGGTGGCCAGTTGACTGTCATTGTTGTCTAGTCAGTTCTCCTGCTTTGTTGGCCATTGTGTTTGGATGAGATACAAGTAAAACTGGACAGAAGCCAATGTCAAGCCAATTAGGGAGTTAAGTCAGATTATTTAGACAATACTCAACCCTATATTCCACCGCCTGCAAACAAACAACATACAAAATACATAAAGAAGTCTCAAGCCAAGTACAAATTAGCTATTGAATTATCTGATGATTTGGATTAGCTAGACAAGTATCTGGCAAAGAATATTTAGTAAAATATTTGTAGCATGTAGAATAAGGATTTTTTAAATATTATTACTTTCATGTTTCCTATTTTCTCGGAGGATCAAGAAGAGTTTTGCATTTTCTCATTCTGTATAGTTCAGATTTTGTCCAAGCTTATTGCCACTCCTTGTAAAAGGGAAATAAATACTGGGTTTATGTAGGGATTGCTCACACAAAGGAACTAGCTATATATTCCATGTGAAGGGTCAAATGGCAGGAGCGAGCAGAAGGCTTCTTATGAGGAGAGTTGTGAGTTTGATGCTGAATTTTCCAAAATGTAGATTAATCTGAAATGTCTCAGAACCCTTTCAAGAGAGTCTAGAAAACTAGACTCTAGAAACATGTAGAGAACTAGATGTTTTCGGGACCTAAGGAGTCTCTTCGTTTGCCATGAATATTGCCAAGGCAACAGTCGTTTGTAAGATGTTTTCATTATTTAAATTATGAAAATGGTCTGGTCTTATTGGCTTCCAAGACGCGTTCTTATAGGAAGGCCATACATTTTCTAATCCATGTGTCACTCAGAGAAAAATGTATGCTCAGATCAGCAGTCCTTAACTCAGGACCTCAGAATGGATTTTTAGAGTGCTCTTTAAGCACCTTGAAATTGTAGTGTTTTTTTCGTGTAAGTTCTGGTGAGAGAGTTATTGTATAATATGAACACACATGGCCATATATCTACGTAAGATTATAGTAACTTAAAAATAGTTTCTCTTTCTTAACGTCTAGCATCTAGCCCTGAGCCTTGCCTGTATATAAATATTCAACTTGTAATTTTTATAATTATTCAATTAGTAAATGTTGATGTCAATAACAAGGACAAAATTCAACAAGCAGTTTATACAGGGACATTTGGATATAATAATATACCACTTAACCAATAATAGCAAACATTCATAAATATGAATTAATGTCACTTAAATGGGTTTCAAATTCACTTTAGACTTAGAATAGAGCATACCTACATAAAGTTGGACATCTGAAATGATGGTCTGAACAAAGTATAGTAGTTTCTCTGTATTGAGATCAACATATTGAGCTTTAACATGGGTTTATGTGTTACAAAGATCAGTCCCTTCAAGATACCTGTTCTAGAAATTTATTTGTAAACTGCACATGTAGCAATAACACATTTAATGGCACTGTGTCCTAGAGAGTGTTCCAGAACCTTCTTGCAGATAATTACCAGGAAGCTTTTCCAACATGTAGATTCCCAGGCATCATCTCTAGAAAGCCAGGGGTGAAAGTCCTGGAATCTGTTTATTTCAGAAACATTCCCCAGTATTAGGAACCACTGGTCAAGTGGACAGTGTCTTGAATTGGGAGAGAATGTCAAGTTCTCTCTGCCTCTGTTCTACCTTAATTTCATCAACATCACAGGCAACATGAGACTATTACTCAGGGTCTGTGGCCAGTCGGCTCTATCTACTTACTTCAGGAGGAGAAAGGTGCTTAATCATCAAGTCTACAGGCTGGAGGGTGGGTGGCACGGAGACTTGGATAAGGGATAGGGACACAGACAGGTTGGAAGTATGTCAGGGCCCTTAGAGAAAAGTGATGGAGAGGAAACCAGCTGCAAGGCAGGTTGGGGGCTCTATAGAGGGTAAGCAACTGCTTGGTTTGTCCAGGACTGTCCCATTTTTAGCACTGAAATTCCCATATGTTGAAAAATTCTCACTCACTGGCAATCCAGGACAGTTGGTCACCCTACTTTTAGGTTGCAAACCACATGATATGAGGTGGAAGCTGGTATAGACTGAATCTTTGTGTACCCCCCAAATTTATATGTTGAAATCTAATCCCCAGTGTGATGATATTTGGAGGTAGGACCTTGGAGAGGTGATTACGTCCTTAGGGTAGAGTTCTCGTGAGTGGAATTAGTGCCCTTATATGAAAAGTCCAGAGAGCTAGCTTATTCTGCTTCTACCATGTGAGGCTACAAGGAAAAGTTGGCATCTGCAACCTGAAAGAAAGCCCTCATTAGAACCTGACCATGCTGGCACCCCTGATCTCAGAGTCTCTAGAACTGTGAGAAATAAATTTATGTTGTTTATAAGCCACCCAGTGTGTGGTAATTTGTTATAGCAGCCAGAACTGACTGAGACAGAAACCCACACAATAGTTCATCTAAAAATCCCTCTAACTGGATCAATATCCTCTTAAAGCTCAAAAGAGTATTTCCTCCATGGCATTAGTAAGCATCTGATTCCGATTTGGTTGAACAAAAAATAGAATGAGGATTGTTTTCTCAACTGCTTGTCATTTTCAAAGCGTTTAGAAGGCCCGTTTGATGTTCCACTTGACTAAGCATAGTAACCTTTGCTCTATCTGACCAAGAATGATTGATGGTATGGTGTTTTAGCAAAAACTGTCACAGAGAACTATTTCTAGAAATAATAATTCTGCAACAGTGCCTAATTAATTCTTTTTTTCTCCCTAAAATCTTGATTTTCAAATTGAATTTTCCATTTGGTTAAGACACTAATGTGGTATGTGTATTTACAGTTCACAGTTATTCTTATGAAGAAGTCAGCATAATCTGTTGGTCTCTTTCAATGTTGAAGTTAAAGTAGGGCAGAGGCAATGAGAATCTGACTGTAACTCTCATATTTCAAAATACTATCCATTTCATAAGAAGTTCTCCATTTCTTGAAAGTGCTCATTAAACTTATAGAATCTGGGCTCCCTACCTTAAAATACAAAATTAAGACATAGAGATGAGGCCTGAGAATTTCCATGCAGCGAAAGCTTCCCTGGTGATTCTGAAGTGCAGGAAGGGTCAGCTACACTTTCTAAATCAGTGTCACTCGGGGGTGGGGAGGAGGGGGGAATTTAAATGTGTTTTTGCTGCAGATGTAGCTTACACGGAGTTCTAGAACAGGAAAATATGTCGGGTATCCTTCTAGGTGGTTCTGACTATCCAAATAATTTGGTTTTTCATCCTATCTGGAGGCCTCCCCAGATATGCTTTGAAAGTCAGTTCAACTTAAGAAGTGCACAGAATTTTCCACCATCTTTTAGTAACTGTATTCATTATGGTTGTGTGTGTGTGTGAGGGGGGTGAGGGGGAGAGAGAGAGAGAGAGAGAGAGAGAGAGAGAGAGATATTTCTATACCCTTCTTGAACCTTTTTATATTTTCAGCTTGTACTACCTGTTGTTTTAACTAAAAAAAATAAAAATGAAAATGAAAATGGCTACTATTGTGGAAAGTAATACTTCATGTATTTGTTCTAAATTGATTCCTTTAAAATAGTGATTTTCAATTGTGGTCTAATTTGCTTCCTTTGGGGCCATTTGGCAATATCTAGAGCCAACCGGTTCCAAATGGGGGGGAGGGTGGGAAGGACTATTGACATCTAACACGAGTAGAGGCCAGGGATTCTGTTAGACATTCTGCGATGCACAGGACCACCCCTCTCCCCTAACAAAGAATGATCCAGTCCAAAACGTTAATAGTGCTAGGTTCAGAGACCCTGCTTTAAAAGCTTTGAAATGAGTAACATCAATATTAGCTAACAATGACCTTTTCACTTATATCAGGCATTATTGGATTGGTTTCCTTATTTTATCTTCACAAGAATGCTATGATGTAGTTTTCATTATCACTCCCAGATTAAAGATGAGAAAA